GAGAGAGAGAGAGAATGAGAGAGAGAGGGAGGGAGGGAAAGAGAGAGAGTGAGTGAGAGAGAGAGAGAGTGAGAGAGAGAGAGAGAGAGAGAGAGAGAGAGAGAGAGAGAGAGAGAGAGTATTTTAAAAATCCACGGTCCTTTTTGTTCTGATTTTCCTTTTTTTTTTCTTTTCAAATCGCAATCCTCTTCCTGTTAGCTTTGAGACATTCGATCTCAATCAGAATTCCATCGACATATCTAGTGTTGCGGTTGAATACTTCGAAGTGACACACAGTTCGATTCCCGTGAGGGGACTTTAAAAATAATAAACTGAGTTTCCCAGTTTGTATACAGTGGCACTATATATCTAAAAATGGTGAAATGGTATAGGTTTAACGCCCCTATCAACACTGTTAGGTTATTTAAGAGGCGGGACCTCCTGGTTTAACATTCATCTCCGATAGGACCGAGCCAAGTGGGAAATCCGTGTAAGGCGCCTTTCCCAAGGACACGACGTCGGATCGAGCTGAGGCTCGAACCCCCGAACCTGCATTCTCACGATTACGAGTCCGATAGCCTAACCACTAGGCACAGACGCCACTCCACTATAAGATCTAATCTGTCGTCCCATTGATCTCTTTTAATTTGTGAGGGGGGGGGTAGCATACGTACAATTACATCACAATTGCTCAAGATTCCACCCCAGTCCGGTTGTTCTTGTTTTGGGGTTGTTGGTTTTTTCATAAGTTTTGTTTTAATCATCGTTCTGGACGTTGATAGTCCATTTTGAAGACGGGTTCATCAGTATGATACGTACATGTCGTGTATTATGGACTGGTGAGGTTTGGGGGGGGGGGGGCGAGGTGGAGGCCGGATCTGTCGTAACTTTTGCTGGACCAAACCGTCTGTAACTGTTAACCAATCTAGAAACCCTAGAAAGTATTAAGAAAAGAATCCCAGCCCTTGAACAGACAGGTTGTGACGTAAGAGTTGCACCAGACAAACATGGGGGGAGTTGCGAACCTTCACTGAGGGAAGAACGAACTGTTTATTTATATCCGCCTTGATATTCCCACAGTCCGCTGTTGGGTGTGTAAAATCAGAACCCGAAGTCGGAAGACTTATAATCTTGGACATAATCTCCAACCCAGACGCGCAGTGTCAGAAAGATAACAACATCCCCAGCACCTCTCTTCTCCATCATCAGCTAGCAGTATTGGGCAGAAAGCTTAGTTATAGCCTGTGCACACTGCCTGTCGGATTGGTCGGATTGAGTCGGGGCCTGCAGTAAGATTTTCCTTCATGCATTGGATAAAAGCTTCCATTTTGGCACAGTACGACCGATTCGACTCGCGACCTTGAAAAATAAACTGACTAAAGCGTCTTACTGTACCGGAACAACATAGGGGGAACCGCTGCTTTTTATTTCCTCATTCTTATTATCGTCATTTTTCCTCTACTTCTTTGGTATGTTTGTCACTCTCTTGTGAACTGCTATTTCCGGGGTGCCTTGATAGTTGAAGCAGACTTTATGCCATTGAAGCTAGAGAGATGAGCAGAGTAAATCTGATTCCCCGTTTGATCTTCTCTATTGACATCCACCCCTTGGCACTTGTTTGACCTTATGCAGTTGCGAGCGCCGTAAAACCTTACTAAAACTAAACAAACTAAACTAAAACGTGTTTGATTTTCAAGGTTACAATCGAATCTAGTTGAATTCGTTCGTAATACATAATTATTAATCGGTCAGTCCGACACACCGAGCCGACCCGACCCGATCATGCAAATACATGTATCCCTCCATCTGACCTCACCATTTCAGCCTCCACACGCGCTTAATAAAGAAAGTCCCCTCCAAAACCAGCCTCATTCTGAGAGTATCTTTTGACACCCCACCCCCCTGCACGAACACGCTGATTGACAGGTGCTTACCCTGATGAGTGACACTCTCCAGCGCCTCTCGGCCCTCTGTAAGCCCCGCCCTCTCCACCCTTGAGGTCCCACAAGGTGCAAGTGCCAGTAGTAATTTTCGTTGATGGCTGTGTGGAGTCTGTGGCGTTTGAGAGGTTGTTGTCGAGAGTACGCGAGAATTGATGACGTCATTAGAGAGTTTAGTAGAATTTTTTGGAGTGGTACTAAACATGACAGAATATTACTAAGACTTAGAAGAGAGGTTTTCTGTTAGCACATTCGGGATATAATTGTGATAACAGCGGTAACGGATAAAAACTACTTGGCTGACAATTAATATGCATGTTGTGTGTCGGTGGGTTTGTGCGTCTGTCTGTCAGTCTGTTTGTTTCTTTCTCTTTCTCTTTCTCTCTCTCTCTCTCTCTCTCTCTCTCTCTCTCTCTCTCTCTCTCTCTCTTTCTCTCTCTCATGTATTTGTAGCACTGTATGTTCAGTAACTTCACTGCATTTGGTATTAATGGTTTTCTTTACTTGTCTGTTCTTGCGTTCTCGGAAATAAGTCATTTGCTGGGGGTTGATAATTGAAATTCCTGTGTGAATATGTGGTTATGGTTAGTTAGCATTATTAACGCCTTTTTTAAAGCCACAGTTTTGTGACTATACTTTTGTGCGTGTCTGAGGATAATGATAAGTCTGTGTTCCATTCCTCAGAACATTGTTGATGAGGGTGGGTCCATCAATTCTGCCTTGGGGAAGATGAAGGAGATGCTAAACACCCCAATCAAGGCCTTCAACCCCGCCCAGTCCTCTCTCACGTCCAATAACCCTGCCTATCGCACAACCTCGTCATCCTCATCTTCATCCACCACCTCGTCATTGCCTCAGTCACCTTCTGCTGATGAAGTCTTAGAAGGAGATCTACCCGCCCAGTTTTGTCGCCTGATGGGCAAAGGTATTTTAGATGGGTCCGACATGCTTAAGTCTCGTTAAAAATGTTTTTGTTTTTTTTAAGTTTTAGTAAGAGTTTTACGGCACTCGCAACTGCATAAGGTCATATGAGCGCCAGAAGATTAGAGGTGTTACAAGAGAGTAACAAACACAAAAAAGAAGGAGGGGAGAAAAGGACGATAGATGTTTGATAGGAAAGAAGGAGCAAACCACACCAGAGCACCCGCCAACCACCCACTAAAAATGTTTACTTCTGTGGAATGTGGAGAAATAAATTGTTACAGTCATAGATTGTTCAGGAATTTGACTTGCTATTTCCCTGTACAGTTTTAAATTAGGCAAGCGCACACGCACACACACACATATGCACTCGCATGCACGCACGCACGCACACACACACACACACACACATACACACAATCACACACCAAGTTTTCCTAAACTCATAAAAAAACATTTTATGAGTGCAAAACCATAATTTCATTTTAAAAAACATTTTATGAGTGCATAACCACTCAAAGCATTAGAAAAAAAATTTCTCTATTTTCTTGTTTTCAGTTTGTACACAACTGCTGGTAGCAAGCCGTCCAGATGATGAGTGCTTTAAAATTTATCTTCAACTTATAGACAAGTGCCTGAACCATGAAGTAAGTTTATTGTTTTGAAAGATGTTCGACCTGAAATCTCCTTTTTGAACTCTTTAAACTGTGTGAATCGCTGTCCATTTTGTTTTAAACCATGAAGGGTTTTAACAGGCTATTTAGTTTATTCGTTACTATTTATGGGAAGTCTTTCAAAGGGGGTTTGATCTTTCTTGACAAAGAATGTTTTGGCCCAGGTGTGTGAATGTCTGGGGAAAGCTCATTTTATGTTTTAGTTTGCAGTGCGTCATGCACTATGATTTCAGGAATATCGCGCACACATGCATACACACATGCACACCCACACACACAGGCACACACGCACACACGCATGCACACTCACACCCACGCATGCGCGCGCACACGCACGCAAGCACGCGCGCACACACACACACACACACACACACACACACACACACACACACACACACACACACAGTGACTCTGGCTGTTGCATATTATTAGGTCAAGCAGATCAGAGAATGGGGACACATTACTGTAACCCTTTCAGAAAAATATCTAGTTGTTCAAATGAAATGTTTAAACATGCTTGCTTTTGTGTGGAACAGAGTTTGCCCCCTTCTGGACAGGTAAAATCTGAGGCAGTCATCCATTCCTTTTAAAGTTCTCGATGAATATCAGTTGCTGGTTGTTGTTTTTTTAGTGTTGAATATATTCGAGGTGTTTGAATAAATGGTTGCTGTTGTGATTATCAGTAACATCTTTGATGCTTACTCTTTGAGTGTTACTGCTTTGTCAATTGTCTAATGCCCCTAATTTTAAAGGTTTTTGAAAGGCTAGGTCATGTAGAAAGAGAATTCTAAAAACCCACTAGAAAGACCATCGATGAGGAAGTTCAGTGTTGAATGGGGTTACATATAAACATTTGCAACTAAAAATTGAAAAATCCCAAACTGCCGACTGTGTATATATATATGTGTTCTAAGGGTATTCAGCCATTTTGTGTGGAATTTGTCCAATCGTTCAGTAGATAGGGACTCTTTAGAGAGCACTCTTTTAAAAAAAAATTATTTTATTTTATTTTATTTTATTTGTTTATTCATTTGTTTTTTAAAAAATTAAATTGTCTAGATTTAGTGGAGATGTGAAATGTCTGTCATTTTAGATGCGTTTTGAATAGCCCTGTAAGAGGTTGTTTAGCTGGCAGATGTTCTTTTATGGTCTCCTTGAAGTTTTATCACCCATGTTTTCCTACTTCTGGTCTTTCCTTGTATTATTTCTGTCCATCTTTTCCCCACCATTAAATGACGGTATTATTGAGTCGATGTGCTGCTCTTTTCTCTGCTTTCTTACATTAGGATCCCCTGTAGTCTAACTGTGTGACTGTCAACTCCCGGTGACTCCACCTCTTTTTAACTTTCATCTGTAATTTTCCTGTTCAAATTTGTAATGTTTTTTTTGCTTGAACGTTCCCCCTTGTGTCTCAGATACTCTAGTTTGAAGCTATATAAGAAGGAAAAAAACACTAAAAAAACCCTACCTTTTTCCCTACACGAAATGGTCATTATTGTTTCAATCTGCTTCTCTTTGCTCAGACAAGCTAACGGTCATAAATACCATTTCTTCCTTGGTACAGGCATTCTCTGATCGTCAGAAGAAACTTTTACAATCTTGGAAACAGTCAGCTCAAAAGATCTGGCAACCATCTCCACAAAGATATGGAGACAGACCCCGCAGAAGGTATGCTACTTAGCAACATTGTCTCTGTACATTTTTCTGACTTTGGAGGAGAGAAAAAAAACAATCCCGGTGGTCTGTGGTGTAATGGTTATGCTTTTTGGTGTCACCTGCATACAGACGATTCCCATTTGCTAAGGCTTTTGGTTGAGCTTCATGAAGAAAAAATAAAGTGGGGGGGGGGAGAGAACATTATCAGAGGTGCACCAGAATATGTCCTGGCATGTATTCTCATTGTCCTGGTATAATGTGCTTTTCAGGTGTTACCTTTTCTCCGCAGTAGTGATAGCAGAGGTGTTTCTCTAAGAACAGGAGTAAATATGTATTAAGGGAAGAGAAGAAGTCCTCTGCAGGTTTTTTAAGTTTGTTATTTTCAAAACTTGAATTAAATATGTCATCTTATGTTAATGTATATATAAGAAAGAAGGGTAGAAGACGGCCCTTGTAACATAAGACTGATGTAAAGATCCCTTCTATCTTGGAATATGTGGCTATTAAAACATAATGCATGAACTTATTAATGAAATGAACATTATGCATATGTAATCATATGAATTATAGAATAACTTTACACTAATTGCAGTTATGTTAATCAAATGGACATGATGCCTCTTTTTTCTCCCCCAGTTTCGCCAATACATTCCACGTAGGAAATTCACTTGGGGGCCGCATCATCCCACGAGCGGGTCGTATCCCTGTGCCGCAGTCTGTAGGCCACCACCAGCAACATCCCAGCATGCAACAGTGGAGCTTTGGTTCGAAGCGATCCATTTTGGGAGGGGGCTCTGGTGGCGGACATATGCCGGTGCAACGCAATAATTCCTTGAACACCGCCTTTCTCAATAAACCAGGGCTGTTAGAGGTGAGTGGAAATACAGGTTCATCATTTTTACTTGATGTCCAGGTTTTGCATTAAGATAATAAGGAAAAAAGGCTTCTATTTGTTCAAATTGTAGATGTGGATATGTATAAAGACTCGTATTGGTCCAAGGTGGATATGTGGATGGGTAGAGGGCATCACCGGTAGGTCCTACTTCTTCTATCTTTGATTTATTTCTGCGTGTGTGTCTGTCTTACATTTTTTTCCCTATCGTCACCTTGTAGATCATTTTGGAGGCGGATTTGCTTTAACCCAGGTCTAAAGTGAGCTGAGAAAGATACAGCTGACTGATAGAAGCACTCGATAAAAACCACCCCCAACATGTAAATCAAACCCCCTGCAGATGGGGGGCACCATAGTTTTACTCTGAGGGAGCAAAGAATACACATGCCGTGATACTGCGTGCCATAAGAGACGACTAAAGGTGCATAGGTCTGGTCACCCAAAAAGTGCCAGTTTGCGGAGGGCCAACTACCCGACCCAGTAAAATCTGTCAGAAAAAGGTGGAAAGTGTTTTTCCATGGCCTGTTTTATATGACCTAATTGTGTTGCAAGTGCCTTCAAACTCTTACTAAACCTAGGAGCCATGTACAAAACGTAGTAATGATTTTTTTTCTCTCTCCAGCAAACCAAACAGCCCATCTCCAGAACTCACTCTGCCCCAACCAACAGACCCATGTCTCTTCCAATGCAAGGTTGTGAGAACGCTAATGACACTGAGATCAACGCACGTCTTGATTCTCTGTGCATCAGCATGACGGAACATGCTCTGGGAAGCTCAGGTAAGTGGTTGTACACTCTGGTAACAGTAAAGTTGGACACCCATTTGATGCAGCTTGACCTATGTCTTACAATCACAGTTATCTATCAGGATTAGAAATGGTGCTCTGAGATAGCTGTGATATGCAAGGATAGGGGCAGGGGAGGGTTACTTTTACCCATTCTGTCTATCTGTGTGTTTTCATAAAGCCTTCATTGTTAAAACATTTTTCATTTTGAGTCACAGAATGCCTCTCCCCTCAATCATATCTTCTGTTTCATTGAGATAAACTTTATTCACTACTCCACACACCGGAGTTTCATGTAGTGATTTACATTCCTGTTTCCTGGAAGGGCAGCATCACTACTTTGATTTGTCGCCAAGATCGTCCTGTTTTCTGTTGGGTAAAATAGCACCTATATGCAGCAGGTGGCTGTTGTACCTTGTCATGTGTTCTTCTCCGTCTACTTCTTATGTTTTGCTTACTTATCAAATGTGACTGTTTGCATAAAGCTGCCTCACTGTAATCTCTGGCTGGTTGGAGGGCCTCACTTATTATAGGTTTGTAGGTATTTCTTTTTCTCCACATCCCTGTTTTCTTTGTCTTTGTCTGTCTTTTTCCCAACACTAAACAATGGTTGTGACATGGATTTGCTCTCTTTACCTACACATAAAGCTGAAGTCCACTGTGAACTTCTATTCGACTTTTTCATACAGTAGTCTCTGCTTATGACCACTCTTTGCTTGTGATCCAGCTGTTTTAAGAAAACAATTTAAAGTTTACAAAAGTCATCCCTAAGGTCCAGCTCTGACGGAATATATTTGGCTAAGATCCTGCATTTCTGATCTTAGTTTTCTGAATGAAAGCATGCAGCTGATTAACCAAGCAGCGAAAATTTGTGGACTTGCACTGCCCGTCGCATCATTCTTTCCGTGAAAGCGATTACATCTTCATTTTAAATTTAAGTCAGTGGGAACAGTGTTTGACCCCCAAGGGATCATCATTGTGAAACAGTCAGTCCTCTATATACCACAAACTAGACTTATTTTCATGACAATCTTTGAAATAGTTGATAATGCCAGCCTCTCGGGGTCCTTTAGTTTGCAGTACACAGAGGACTGAATGTAACTTTAAAGTTTTTACATTTTTATTACAAAAGATTTGATTTTTGCAGGTGGTCAAAACGTTCCACTGGTAGTTCCTACTTCTTTTCTTTTCCTCCGTTGTTTCTGTTACTTTTTTTTTGGCTCAAGTATTTCCCCTTCTTTCTTATCAAACAGCTATTGTCCTTATCTCTCCTCTTTCTTTCTTTTGTTTTGATACTTTACTAATCTTGCTCTCTCCTCCTCCTTTTTAGTGTTTGTTACTCTCTTGAAACGTCTCTAATCATTTGGCACATACATTTGACCTAATTTTGTTGCACATGCCTTAAAGCTCTACCCAAACTAAATCAAAACTAGTTTGCTGTAATTAGAGGTGTGACAGTTTTGTATATAGTACAATGATGATGTTATCAAGTTTTTATTTGTGATCCTAACAAAAACTTTTTGTTGGTGGTTTGCGGGTGCTGTGGTGTGGTTTGCTTCTTCTTTCCTATCAAACTTCTATTGTCTTTATCTCCCCTCCTTCTTTTTTGTGTTTGTTACTCTCTAGCAACACCTCTAATCTTTGGCACTTATATGATCTTATTGTGTTGCAAGTGCCGTAAAACACTTATTAAAACAAACAAAAACTTTTTGAAAATTATTTCAGATACAAGTGATCGTGGTCCTAATTATTGACCTTGAATCAGCGTTGAGACGAACGTCTCCCCCCCGTCTCCACCAACCACCACTGCTGCTGTCTAGTCTGGCAAAGTATGATGCACCCCTGACATCAAATGGAGCCTGGCTGTCTTCTTTCGACCTAAACTCGTGTTCACTAAATGTCTACATGCCAAAATAATGTTATGACAAATGTGCTGTTCTCTGGTTGATGTCATGTTGGTTTTTGGAACTTTGATTAGTTGCGTGATGAGAGATGTGAATGGAGATCGTCATAATGTATGTATGTTGAATTAGTTTGTGGCCACAGCCTGTTGGTATGTAGTCACAAGGGCAGTGAAACCACTGTTGGTGCTTGGGGAAAAAAACTTCCAACACATTGGTTGTTGTACCATTTGCACATTTGCTTTTAAAAATCTATTGTTGTACTTTGCAGTTATTTCGTTGCATGTCGTGTCACTTTACTGTGTTCTACAATGTGTTATTAGTTAGCTGCTGATAGACGACTGGAGTCTGTAGTAGATTAGCAGCCCAGTTCTCACTCACCCTTCCCCCCCAAAAAGATCTGATCTGCTTAGCTGGCATATTAACGTTGTTAAGTTTGCTTATGTTCCAAAGTCATGGCAACTATATATTGCTTCATTTCATTCCTCACCCCCCCCCCCCCCAAAAAAAAAAAACCCACACACGCGCGTGTGCGCAAACACTCGCACACGCGTACACAAACACTCTCACACACACACACACACACACACACACACAAATATGCACTCATCCATTCACCCAAACACACACATACTCACTCCCATGTTGCCGTTGATTTATTTATTGTATTGACACCTTTTTGCTGTCATATTGTCTGATGCAAACATTGGATTCAGTGCACGAGGAATGGTACAGATTACACTGTATGCAGCATTAAGTTAGTTGAATTGTGCTCTCTAGCTACAAAAGCCGTATAATCTGTAATTTAAAGTTGGCAAAGTGCATGTGTGTGTTGTCCCAACAATCAGCGTGATGAGTCCTCTGTGGACATCTGCTGTGATATATTTATAAGAGAGATAGCCTTTAATTAATGCACTGGCCATACCAGGATATTGGCATTTGTGACAGGCGTGCTGACAAAATGCTTTAATTAATGCACTGGCCATACCAGGATATTGGCATTTGTGACAGGCGTGCTGACAAAATGAGGTATCTCTTGCAATTAGTAAATGGTGTGTCACGACATGGTGAAATCAAAACATGAGGTGTGCTTTATGCTCATTTCTTGGGGCGTGTGGAGTTATTAGTTTCCTCTCAAACCTTATTCAATTGTCCTGCAGTGGGGGGGGGGAACCCTATCTATCAAGAATTCAAAAGAGGTGGGGATCGCCATGTGTGGAGGTAAAATTAGCGAGAAAATGGCTGCCAAAGTTTTGTTAATTCCAAGTTCTGAGTGTCCTAGGAAAATGGAAATTTTGGAAATTTACATTATTTGTGCCTTTGATCAACGTTTTTCAGTAAATTCTATATACAGATGTTTTTTTTAAATAGACATAAAAGGTGCTGAGCCCCCCCCCCCCCCAATATTTAATGGCCAGAAAATTGCCGTTTAACCAAAAAAAACCCATTATTTTAATGAGCGCCTGATTTCACCTTGCGGCCTCACAAATTAAGATATTGACCGAAAATCATAACGTGGGGTTAGATTTGTAGATTTTCAATTGATGCCATATTCTACACCTTTACACATCTTTTATCATTTCGTACTAAAGAATTGTATAAATTCAACCTGATAAATTTGATGTGTCTATGTCCATAGGGCTAAGATTGGAGAAGTAACTCATTTTGTCACTGCACACCTCACATTTTGTTCTGATTGTCAGATATTTTGTACCTTCAGATCCTTTCATATGGGTCCAGTAGTTCAAATTTTGGTCTGACAAAGGATTTTTATTAATGTTGTCAGTTCTCTTTCGACTTTTAGTGTTCTCATTTTCGACACCGCAGAACACAGAAAAACTACTGTCTCTGTCAAAGGAAAGGAATATAAAGGCCAGCGTTTCATTTTTGCTCAGTGATACTCTAGCGGTCCACTAATTGACTGCTTCTACCCCTGTGTGAAAGCCATGTCGAGTTCTTGTTTGAGAGTTGGCATTCTCTGAATTTCGAAAAATTTCATTCAGAAAGGAAGTTGAAAATGTGGACAGACAATCATGACGTTTTGTAATGCATGTTTTTGAACCAGACGTAATCAGTCAAATCTATGTAGTGTCCAAAAGCATGAACCTATATTTTAAAAAGCAAATGGGGTTGATACATGCAAATGAGTTTGGAAAAAAAGAAAAGCACAGTCTGTAAGTAAATTTCTTATTGGGGGCGATCTCGGTATTTTTATCTCTGCAGTATTAGCATAAAAGATAACATTGCTGACTTTCGAAATTTCATTTTATGTTGAATCAATAAGTGGGAATTTGGCTAATTAATTCCTGCAAAACTTTGTTCTAATGGTACAACAGTGCAAAAATAATAATGTGTTGGCTATGAATGAATACTACTTTCCATGCCACTGCCATGACCTCAGCTTTTTATTAGTTCTAAGTGTGTTTGTGAACATATTTGATTGTGAACTCAGCAACAGATACCGGATGTTGTAGAACCTGTTCGGGGTCAGCGTTAAGTTGTGCTTTGATCAGTAAAACAAAGATATTATGTGGCAGGCAAATAGGAAAATGTCCTTAAAATTGCTGCCATCACACTGTGTTCTTTTCATCTTTTTTTTTTTAAGGATTTCCAAATAAGGGCTCTATATGTTAGTGTTTATTTATGGGCAGAGATATAGTTACTGTAGACTTCGTTGTGAATGTAGTTTTTAGCCTTGTAGAGTTTGCACTCTCAGCTTTCACTGTTTCACTGATTTCTCTAGCAGGTGAGTCTTGTGTGAGTAGAACTGTATGTTTGTGATGCAACAACAAGCTCAGCATTACATGAAGATTTTATAATCTACGATATCTCAGAAATTTTTGAGTTTGTGGTCGTTGATCTGTGGGGACTCTTGTTTTGTTGTTTTGCTGGGAAAACCTGTTTACTTACCTTTTAGTTTGTTGAGAGATTCTTGATATGCCTTTTAAATTTTGTGTAGGAACATATTGGGAATATTTTATATTCTGGCTGGTAGCTGAAAGAAATTTATCAAAGACATTTGAAATTGTTTCCCGCAGATTATTATGGTTTTGATTCATTTGACTGTCTAAAGCAATACAGTTTATTTAATAATGAAATTATCTATTCAGTGTTACATAGAAGATATTTTCAATTTCTAGAAAAATTAAAATAGTTTTGCTGCAGAGTATTTAGGTAGATATTGTGACACTGCAGTCAGTTATGTTTGCTTTTTTGCATTTCTTTACAACAGTCTTTAAAATTTGAAGCATGTGTTAAAGTTTGAAATGGGTGTATTACCCTCTGATTAAACACATTTTCTCGTGCGGATTTCTTAACCTGCTTTGGTTTGGAACTTAAAGAAGTAGAAGAAGGACAGTTTTAAAATACAAGTAATGCTCATCAGTGCCGAAAAATGTTTTTGTCCCAGTATGTAGGAAAAGAACTATCAGTGTTGAAGAGTTTGATCCCATTTGATTTGGGTAAATCACTGGTCTATGGTCTAATGTTGAAGAGTTTGATCCCATTTGATTTGGGTAAATCACTGGTCTATGGTCTAATGATGCATTTGCTGTGGTTGCCAGTGTTTACGTGTTGAAAACCCATTACTGCTGATATTACTTTTGGATGGAGTGTACAAAACGGACATTATGTCTAGTTCCCTCCCCTTTTCTAGTAAAAATATCCTCAAGACTCTATACCTTTCTTGTAACAGTTTCGAAAAAAATAAATAAATACATTTGCAAATTTTTGTTAGATTTTTTAATAACTGTAATAATTTTGTTTTTGTGCTGTAGGGGAAGCTACTTATGTGAAAATGTGGTACACAATGTAGAACAACTTGTGAATGAAGATTACTTGTTTAGTTTGGGTAAATGTCTAATCTAATCAGTATTTTTTCTGAACAGTCTGAATTTTAGCTTTGAGTTACAGTGTGTAGACCTGTTTCAAATAGGCATCCTCATTCTTCGTTTATGACAATAAGCGTGTGCCATAGCTAAAGGTTCAGTTTTCATGGATACAATTTTGCACATCTTTCTCTTGTGTAGAAAGGCTGTATTTCCGTTAAACTGTCATTGTTCAACTGTGTATAAAGGCTGTATTTCCATTAAACTGTTTTTGTTCAACTGGAATTTTGAATCAAGGGTTCATCCTGCACAAATGAAGTGATAGGCTAAAATTTGAATTCCCAAGAGAAAGATCTTATTGAATACTCTGCTCAGTTTTTCTGATGGTCTTGTAGTTATTGTTGAAAACGATGTCCCTCAGTTGGCTAATGTTCCTTACTTTCAAAGCGCAGATCAAATCTGTCCATACCAGAAGCAGACTGCATTTATATTCTTTTCTCGTGCTGCTTTTCCTTTATATTTTTTTTGTCTTGTGTATAATGGTAAATTTGATCCCCCCCCCCCAAACGATTCATTTGCCTGATAGATAAGAGAGGTTGGGGTTTGTTTGTTTTTAAATGGAATTTGTAAGTTCCAGATTTAAAGCAGAGTCAGTATGTCTTGAACGCTCTCGTTTCCTGTTTGCGAAAAGAATAGTTGTTAAATTCTGTTCATCTAGCCCGCCTTTTTTTGTATTGTCGCAACACACTTACTGTTGAGCAGGACCAGATTGTGAAGTAGGCTGTCTTATATGTCCATTGAAAAGGTGCTGATCATATTGGCCTGACAGTTACAAAACATATTTTATGTGGAGAAGTGTTTGGCTTTTTTTTAAACGAAAAAGAAATAGTATTTTAATTAAACTTTATTCAGAGAAAAAAACAATGCATAAAAACAACCGGATCGTTTCAGTTTGCAATAAATACTTGTGTTTTGTCCTTTCTTTGATATTAAATACAGCTTGTGAGAGATACCACATAGAACTCAAAATCTCTCACTTAAATGTGCCTAAGTGGAATGTGGGCTACTTGTGTCAGGAGTGAAAAATTGCAAGAATGCTTGTGGGCTCAAGCCATTTGACTCTTTTTCTATGTCAACTGGAAAAAAGTAAGCCGATTGAAGGAAAAAATCAGAAGTGATAGAAATACCTGAAATATTCCCATTGTCATATTTCACGCGTCCATTTGTTTTATAAAAACTATTTATGACAATAGACATTGATCTTGGTCTTTACACAATTGAGCCAAGGTCACAAAACGGAAATCTGGAGGATATTTAATTTAAAAAATCTTGTGGCCTCCTAACTTTATTCTTGTTTGCCTGTTGCTTTATTATTTTAATTATTAAATAAAAAGATGAAAAAAAAAATGTTTTAATGACAGTGGAACAGAAATTAATTTTTGAGCCCACTACTCTTCAATTGTCAAAGTTGGTTTTTGTTGTGAAAATTTAGTGAAAAAAACAAACCCCCAAAACCATGTGTGTTTCTGAATCGACCATATGACTTCAACGAAAGTAATAATGTCACGATATTTAGATTTATAGTATAAAAAATAAAACCATGTTATTGAGGATAGGAAGCAAACAGCAGGAAAAAGAATAACGGAAGCAGTAATTTTCTTATCATTTACCATATTCCCTTGTTAAAC